TTAATGGAACCGCCCGCCTCACACTCTTCCTTCTTACCCCCCACGCGCCTCTCCCCTTATAAAAAAAAAAGATGGAAGTAAAAAAAAAAGAGGAGGTTTTCCCCCCCCCCCCCTTGTGAGGCCCGTGGGGGGGGGGGGGGGGGGGGGGGGGGGGGGGGGGGGGGGGGGGGGGGGGGGGCTGACCGAGTTTATAACCCGGATACACCCACGAAATAAAATAAGGCCATCAAGATTAATCGAAAGCAGGAAGAAAATCACCGGCCCAGATCGACAACGGGGAACTATCACTTTCACAACATAATGAACTGCCTAGGTAACGGGGAAGAAAATCTCACATCATAACTTACTTCAGCTTCTTCATGGTCACCATTACACTGCCCGTTCGTCAGAGAATCAAAAGTCTGTTTCTTTTTCTTCTTCTTTGATGTGCTTTTCACTTTTTTTACTGACAAAGTAGACGAGTCTGGAGTGAGCTCTGTATCCTCTGTAAAGCTTTTTTCTTTATTTTTCTTTCCTTTAACCTTTGGTGTATATTTTTGTACAGAGCCAGGAAGCTGTCCACACACACTTTCAACCACTTCATCTACTGATTCCAAAGTAACGTTTTCCCCACTGAGTCCCTGGACTGTTATGTCAGGAACAATTCTGTGACGATTAAAGTAAAGAAAAGAGCATTGTACACGGGTAGTAAGGAGGAATACTATACATAGAGCTTAATAAAATGAGCAAAGAAATACCCACCTTCCAATTGGCCCAAACGAGAGCACTGTATCGCCTTGATGCACAGGCCCTAAGTCTCTCCCGTGTTTGATAGAGTTGATGCACGTGGCCCACAACATCTCTAATAACATCGCAAATAATCGAAGTTTTTTTTACACCAGGTCCTCATGTGTTTGATCGAATTAAAACACAAGGCTACCGATATCACCAATAACATCACATATAACACATTTTATAAAACAGAAAACCTGGTTCATCTGTTCCACAAATATCGTTTCGTTGCATTTTTAATAGTTCTTCGGTTACTTGAAAATTAGAAAGACTTGAGAAGTTCAACGTAGAAGTGCCGATAAGAATTTTTTAAAAAAATTAATTTCATTATCTGAGCAGTACGGTATTCCTACTGGTGCGGTGGTTAAACATTTTATTATCATCTCTTTCCATTCTTTGGAATCAAAAACATTTTTCAGGCATTACTTTCCTCTCAAAGATTTCAATGACATACCTGATCTGTTTGAGCACAGTTGGATGGGGGTGGGGGGGGGGGGGTTAGGCATGTTTACTTAGGCAAAATGAAGCAC